TATAGCCTCTACCTCATTCAGTTGTAAGAAGGATTAAATGAGTTAAGAATTAAGCACTAAGCACAGGGACAAGCACATGTGGCACTCAACCAATGCTAATGTTTCTATTACTTCCACAATTTGTGGGCTCTATGACTTTGGGTAGAGCCTTTGAGCTTCAGTTTCTACATCTTTAAAATGAGGGTAACAATAGTACCCTTAACTAGGGTTGTTAATTAAGGGTAACAATAGTACCCTTAATTAACATATCACATTAAGCTGGATATGGTGGCTCATGCCTATGATACTAGCACTGAAGTGAAGTGAAGAATTGAATGCAATACTCCATATAAAAGCTCTCAGTGGTGTCTTATATTACAAAAGCATTCAATAAATATTAAATTTTAAAATAAATCATATTCAGTATTAAAATAACATTTTTTAATTAAAGCATTCAATATTAACTTTTTTAGACAAAGAATGATTACAAAAATTAATGTTCACACAAATATAAATATGTCCAAAAAAATTCTTACACATAACACTTATTTTCAATTACTTTGAGTGTGTTTAGGCATTATCAAGCCTGTAAGCTTCCATTCCTCTTGCTGGCATCGATTATATGTGTTTCAGTCAAAGACTCAGTACAGAAGGAAGTAATTACCAATAGAAGTAATAACCAACAGAAGTAATAACCAACATTCATTGCATATTCACAACATAACAGGTACTTTCCTAAGTGCTTTAGATATGTTAGCATATTCAATCCTCACAACAACCCAAATAGGATAGCCTCTGTTAATATCTCTATTTTACAGATGATCAAATTTAAAACAAAGAGTTCTATTTTTTTTTTAATTTAATGAGGTTTATTCTGAACCAAATTTGAGGACCATACCCAGAGCCACACCCAAGAAGTCTTCAGCAAGTGAACTCCCAAGAGTTCAATTTAAGGTATGCTATATTTCAAACAGAGACTAATTGCCCATTTCATATGTAGAATCTGCTATAAAAGACAGCATATACTGAATCAGTCAACGTGAACTTCTTAAAGAAAATAAAACATTGTTTTTGCAGAAAACTCAGAGTCCTCATGTATTTGTTAATACTATATTTCTAAATCTGCACTGTCTAACAATAGCCACCAGCTACACATGACTACGGAGCATGTAAAATGTGGCTAGTACAAATTGAGATGCACTGTAAGTGTAAAATACACATCAAATTTTGAACTTAATATGAAAAAAATATAAAATATCACATTAAGCTGGATATGGTGGCTCATGCCTATGATACTAGCACTTTGAGAGGCTGAAGCACGAGGATCACTTGAGGCTTGAGGTCAGGAGTTCGAGAAGAGCTGAGGCAACATAGCAAGATCCCTCCCTCTATAAAAAAATTAAAAATTTAGCCAGGTGTTGTGGCATGCACCTGTAGGCCCAGCTACTAGGGAGGCTGAGGCAGGAGGATTGCTTTAGCCTAGAAATTTGAGTTTAAAGTGAGCTATGATGGTACCACAGTACTCCAGCCTGGGGGACAGAGCAAGACTCTGTCTCTAAAAAATAATTTTAAAAGATATCTGGCTGGGTGTGGTGGCTGATATCTATAATCCTTGCACTTTGGGAGGCTGAGGCAGGAGGATCACTTGAGGCCAGAAGTTCAAGACTAGCCTGAGCTAGTGAGCTAGTGAGACCCCATCTCTACAAAAGAATTAAAAAATTAGCTGACTGTAGGGCTAAATGCCTGTTGTCCCAGCTACCAGGGCGGCTGAGACAGGAGGATCACTTAGGCCCAGACATTTGAGGTTACAATGAGCTATGATGATGCCACTGTACTCTAGCCCAGACAACAGAGTGAGACACTGTCTCAAAAACCAACAAAAACTCAATAAATTTGGTATTGATTACATGTTAAAATGATAATATTTGGATATACTGGATTAAATAAAATACATTAATAAAATTAATTTCACCTGTTTCTTTTTACTTTTTTTGATACGGCTACTACAAAACTTTAAATTACATATGTGGCCAACATTGTATATCTATTGAACAGTTGGTTTAGGTCTGGGGTAAGAGTAGGAACAGAAAACTATTATCACACCTCTTTGTCCAATCAATATAAGCTTAAGTCCTTTGAAGTCGAAGTATAGAATGGAAGATTCTCATTCTCATTCTGTGTGTGTGTGTGTGTATTGCATACACACAGTTCATGGAACCAGAGAAACACGCTACACTAATACTTCACTGTATTCAACATACAAGATCATTTTATGACCAGGCAAATACTTTAAGTAATACCAATACTTTGTGGATGAGAGAAGGAAAACAAATCTAAGGAGAAATAATAGGCACAGGAAAAAAAACTGATTTTCTTTTAAACTGAAATCATAAAGGCTCCTTTACTCAGAAAAGATCTAACTATTTAGTTTCAGGGGTATAATAAACACCAATCTATGTGGGGAGTAAAATTTAAATTTCCTGATGGCTTAACTGGCAGACTATTAAAATATCTGATGCTTGATATCTGGTATCTTCTAGAAAATATCCAGTTCATGGATACCTGTCGTATTGTTTTGATCAATTTTATACATCAAACATAAGGCCTTTAACTGATTCTTCTAAAGGGATGCCGGTCCACTATATAGAAGAAAATTACTCCATAAAGTTTACATCAGATATCTGGAAAAGTCACATTTATAGTCATGGCTACTATCAGCTGTCAAGCCAAAGAATATTGAAGAAACCAAGAATTTTTAATATATGCTGGTTAATTTATCATCTAAGTGACATATGTAGGATAAAAAAATTGAAATGGTTAAGTAAAGTTCTACATTTTAAAAGGTCCTTTTTCTCTGGTTTTATTTTTAACTGCTACTATGATTTAAGGGTGAAAAAGCAAATTAATAGAAATGATAAAAATAGAATCGATAAAGTATACTACAATTTCTTTTTTCTTCCTTTCCCCAGATTATTTAAAATGTTCGTTTTTTTAAAATGGTAATATATTGATATCTTGGTTTGTACTGCACACTGGATAAACCATCTCAGATTTTGTCAACCTTGACATTATTTTGGGGACTAGCTAACTGTTTTTTGTGGAGGAACTGTCCTGTGTATTGTAGGATTTTTAGCAGCATCCCTGGTGTCCACAAAATGGATGCCAATAGCAGCCCCGCCCAACAGTTTCAACCAACAAAATGTCTAATGTCTAAAATTGGGGGGGGAGGCACACAGCTGGGGGATAAAGATCTCCCCGTTGAGAACCACTGGTCTATTCTTACTCAAAATACCTTCCTATTTGATGAAAATTACTTCAGTCTTCAGAATTTCCTAAAGTACCATTATTTAGTTTTAGGGGCTCTTCTTAGGGTATCCCCAGATAGCTTCAGCTGGGAGATCAATAAACCTACTCATATGCAGAATAGCCTGGGTATGTTTTTGTTTTTGTGTGTACAATGGAAATGCTTTTTGGAAAAATGTTCTATAGCTTTTGTCAGATACTGAAAGAATTATCCCCAAAATAGCAATTAAAAAGGGTTAAGGATCAGTGCTTCAAATAAAATATTCACTATGCACTGAAGCTATCTTTCCAAAGATATAAAGATTGAAAATACTATTTTATACACAGCAAATAATTTACTTGTGCTGTCAGTTATTAGGCAAGATTACTTTCACCACACTTACATACCATTCATACAACAAACATTTACTGGGTACATTCTATACACTAAGCACACTGTTATTAGTATTTGATAATAAAATTTAAATTCCATGTCCCTCACCAAAAACATCCCAAAAATCTAAACTGGATTAACAAATAGCAATATAAAGTTCCTACTAATTTATATGACTAAAAATTTCTGCTTATCAAAAGTTAACATAAAAAAGAAACTAGTTATAATAATAGCATCTAAAGAAAAAATAAAGGTAAATAAATAATTTATATTCTTTGTAAAAATATATAAATCTAAAAGAAACTTAAAGATATTCATACTAATAAATTATTATCCAAGCACATTTCTTTCTGTCTTATTCTTCCTTCCTTATCTTAAACAAAACAAAGATATACTGAATGACATGCTATCATACTGTCACACAGAATGACAGTATTGGATACTATTATTAAACCCAGAGGATATCAAGTTGAATAAAAAGTATAAATGAGATAACCTAAAATAAAATGCTTAGCATTATGCGTAGAACACAACAAAAGCTCAATAAACAGTTCCTTTTCTACCATTTCATTCTTTCCTCAAGAAACTCAGTCTTACCTCCAATAAATGTCACATATCTTACATTTCTCTTCTGAATTATCTTTTAGGTGCTACACAATAAAATCTCTGTAATTCAAACTATACAAACTAAGTAAACAGCAACTAAAATATAAAATGTTTGAATAAGTATATTACAATTCCATAACCTACATAAACATTTCTTTTTTTGTCTAAGCAAACCATCCCCAAGTATCCTATTCTTCCTACAGTACAGTTTTAAGTGTACAGGGCCAATAATCTTTTTGGATTATTCACTGTGATATACAACTTGAAGAGTTACTATATTCCATAAATGGTTTGGGGGATAATAAGTGCTCATGTAATCAATAAATATTTAAGGAGTGGCTAGAGACAAACATGTCTGCTTCAAGATTACCAAATAGATTAATGCTAGAATGAGTACAATGAACAAAATGATGCTTAAAAATATGTGGTATATAAATCTTTACAAACAAATAAAATAATTCTAAGTTCACAAATGAACATATTACCCCAAATAATCACTACCATCATACCTAGCCAAAAATAAAACTGCTAAAACACAGAATGCACCTAGCATGTTTACTTTATATACTAACAATTAACTGAATAATATTAAATAACAACATTACATTTCACAGAGATAAGTCACAAAGAAAAAGTTCTAAAGATTACAGTGTCAGACTTTCTGGGGAGAAAAACTGCAACTCAAAATGATGCAAATCATCTAGGTGCGGAAAAAATATTACATTATTTACATATTTACCTGCACAGCAAGAGAAGCTGCATTGTCAGAAAGCAAAATTTGTTCCCCTGTGGAAATACAATGAAAGGTCTGAGTCAAAAGTATAACTGCTAAAAAAGTAAAATATAATATTTTTATTTTAAAAATTAGTTCTCTCTTTGAAAAGGAAAGGTATAGCCTAACACTAAAGTAATTATAAAGTTCTATATCAATGCTATTGTGTAATTATAATTTTGACTAAATGATCATAGTGTGTAAATAATGGTAAGATAAGACTATTTCCTCTAAAACTATTTAATCATTTATTGCATTTTATAAGCAATATGTAGTTAAAATCACTCATTTAAAATCAAACTCATTTTTCAAGTTTTTAAGAAATATTCCTCCTTTTCATTAAAATTAAGTAAAATAGTATGTGCTCAAACCTCTCTAGTTAAAAGTAAAAGCATTCACAATCATATAAAACCAGCTTGCAGTTAATATTGCACAGTGTGTCTAGGTCTGTCACACAAAAGAAAGATGACAAGTTCTCTGCAATAAAAATTCCATGCTTAGAAGACCAGGGCTGCTGCCTATTAGTCTTCATTACTTTGCAGTCTTCTGACAACTGTAGCAGGCTGCTGAGCCCCAAATGGGGTCCATAATGTGATCTGATGATATATGAAGAGCTGCTAAAGGGAGCCTGAACCATCCTAGCCTATACATTTTAACAGTTCCTTTTTACTGAGAGCCCACTTTACCACAGGACTTCAAAAATCTGCTGCCTCAGCTATTGGTGCAGTAAATCTGCCAACTGCTCCTGCAACCACATCATTTTACACTGCCTACAGCAGCCAATATAATGAGTCAATAATAAACTAAGGACCTTATAGGCCATGAATAGTTGGTTTACACTGGCAGATACAAGTTTAGGTAAAACCTCCTAGACAAATTATACTAGGGAATCCCTTCTTTAAGTTTTATGTTCTCTTTGCAATAAATTATATTACTGAGGGATTGTTTGGTAATAAATATATTTTGATACAAAGCCATGTTAATTGTGAACAAGAACCTACCTTTCAGTTGCTGATATAATGTAGCATTTTCAGGCCAAGGTTCTGTAGCTGCAAAAACAAAGCATGATAATTAGGCACACAGGGCAAAACATATCAATAACCAACCAAATTGATAAGGATGCACATTTGCCTAGCTAGAGCATTTACAGTCAATAGCTAAGGTTTCCTTAAATATGGCAACTAATCACACCATCTTAGATTCTATAGTAACCTGTATAAGCAGGTTAGATAACTTGCTGTAAATGCACGTTTGGTTTATTGTTTGGTGATAGTTTGTTTTTTATGTCATTTATAGGGGGATTGTTAGAGCTCAGGAGTTCAAGACCAGCCTGAGCAAGAGCGAGACCCCGTCTCTACTAAAAAAATAGAAAAAAATTAGCTAGACAACTAAAAATATATTTTAAAAAATTAGCTGGGCATGGTGGCACATGCTTGTAGCCCACCTATTCAGAAGGCTGAGGCAGAAGGATTGCTTGAGCCCAGAAGTTTGAGGTTGCTGTGAGCTGGGCTGAAGCCACAGCACTCTAGTCCATGCAACAGAGTGAGACTCTGTCTCAAAAAATAAATAAATAAATAAATAAATAAATAAATAAATAAATAAATAAATAAATAAAAATACAGAGGAATCCTATTGTATTCTAGAACATTTCATTGCCTTGACCCTACCACCACCACCCCACAAAAACAATTAAAGCAAGGTAGCCTGATGAAGCATTAAATACGTACAAAGTAAAATAAAGCCAGTAACCGCTAATCTCAGGCCTGCCTTGAAGCTTGACCATGACCCTTAATCTCTCATCTAGAGAAAATTCCAGCTACAGAGAGAATATTAACAACCTACCAGTGCTTGAGAAAAGCACTAGATTTGAATTCTGTCTAAATCAATTGTACTTAAGAAGCAATGGCTCCACTGATACAATATACAAGATATCAGGATATCATTTTTTGGATTCTTCTTTGTAAAAGCCATAAAACATCAGAATCACCAGTTCTAATATAGTAACTATATTTGCTATTAGCAAGAAAGTAAATTAAATATATGAGATTTGATAATAATCGGTATTAGTATTTTTATTGTGTTTATACTAGTCCAGTCTCTGTGATATAGCAATAAATAATTTTTTTTTTTTTTTTGAGACAGAGTCTCGCTTTGTTGCCCAGGCTAGAGTGAGTGCCGTGGCGTCCTAGCTCACAGCAACCTCAAACTCCTGGGCTCGAGTGATCCTTCTGCCTCAGCCTCCCGGGTAGCTGGGACTACAGGCATGCGCCACCATGCCCGGCTAATTTTTTATATATATATCAGTTGGCCAATTAATTTCTTTCTATTTATAGTAGAGACGGGGTCTCGCTCTTGCTCAGGCTGGTTTTGAACTCCTGACCTTGAGCAATCCGCCCGCCTCGGCCTCCCAAGAGCTAGGATTACAGGCGTGAGCCACAGCGCCCGGCCAATAAATAATTTTTAATATATAATTCTGGTTGTTTTTTAAAATAAATTTATATATGTGAAACATTTTTTTCTCAAGATTGATCATTTAAAATGCTCTAAAACAGTGCCTGGGCTGAGGAAGATGAACCCCTTACTTTGCTTTTGCTTTAGAATAAAAAGAAAAACACGGTAGTATTATTATAAACTACAAGTGCTACTTTTGGTTTGATTTGGTTTTAGCTACACAAACTTAAACTTATACGTAATACCACAAAATCACCAAGTAAATAATTAACCACACAGTTTTGTATGCTGTTACCTACAATATACACTACACAATACTACACTATAGGCTACTGAATTTCAACACACATACCAAAAAGGCAATGAAAACAAAATATTATATTTTACTGTAAACTTTTTAACAAATAAAATTTCAATAAGAACCCAATTAACCTGTATAACATAGTTTTTAAAATAAAAGTCAGGGGAACAAAACAAGCTGATATCAGCAAATTACTCAAAAATAACCTTTTAGCATAAATTGTATGGTCAGCACACCTATGCTGTTTACATCTATACTAAAAACAATACAATGAGGTTCATTTGTTATAAGTTCCTAAATCATCAAGATCCAATTACATGCATTATATTAATCTTATTAAAGCAATAAAGGATACGAGCAAAATTCACAAAAATTCCAAAGAATAAATATTGAAACTAAGTTCCTTAGGACACAGATGTGTCATATGCATCTGTGTATCTCACACTGAACCATGTTTTGCATATAGTTGGTGTTCATTAATTGTGTGTGGAAAGAAAGAAAAGGGATATGTGATTAAACCTACAACCTCAATCCCTAAACATTCTGGCTAATCAAAGACTTACCAAACTTAATATTATCACCTATGTGGAGGCAACAGGATGTTCTAATTAAATATTCTGGTAATTAACTGTTGGTTAGCTATTTTGTGTACATACTTGACATGCATTATAATTTTTTAAATAATAGAATAACATGCACTTAGCATTAAATATATGTGGAATATAATTTAAGTGTTCTCTGATAAATCACAAGCTATTTCACTACTCTGTAATATAACAGAGTTCTCATATGAACAGCAATGTATGTCTTCAGTAATTTCAGTTAAAAATTAATTCATCATTACCCCCATGGATTCATTCTCCAGATCTAATCCAACAGGCTACATTGCAAGTAACAGAAATGTTGCAACATATTACCTGACTGAAATAAGGCTAAAGAAGTTGCCTTTAGATACCAAAAGCTCTGTTATTAAGAACCTAAAGCTGGAAACCTGGGTGGAAAAGGGCAAATGTTTTGCTTAATCCAAGATATAAACTATATTTCAACTCAGAAATTATTGTTAAAAATAAATTCTCAGAAAGTAACTCTACCAAAACATCTGGTGTTTACTTCACAAATAGAACCTATGATTTACAAACACAAGGCAAGTAAACCATGTTATTTTAGCAGCTAGGAAATGCAGTCCATCATGAGTCTATAGAAAAGAAATAGTAGGGTATGCAGGGAATAACCAGCTGCCTATCTTACCCACAGAGTACACAAATATCACTGATTTAAGTACATGGTCTATGTGACCTAGCTCAAATAATTACATGTAAAGCATGACATGGAAGAAAAAAAATGCTAGTGTTATTTTTGGCATAAGAATGCCAAAAGTAAAAATTTGGCTGGGCTCGCTGACTCACACCTGTAATCCTAGCACTTTGGGAGGCTGAGGTGGGACCACTGCTTGAGGCCAGTTCAAGACCAACTTAAGCAAGAGTAAGACCCTGTCTCCATAAAAAATCAAAAAATTAGCCAGGTGTGGTGGTACACGCCTGTGGTCCCAGATACTCAGAGGCTGAAGCAGGATTGCTTGAGCCCAGGAGTTTGAGACTTTAGTGAGCTATGATGATGCCACTGCACTTTGTGGGAGGCAGGAGACGGGAAGCAGAAGGGAGATGACAGAGACCCTGTCCCCCCCCAAAAAAAATGTAAAACTCCTAAATGGGTGGCATGGCAGTAGATCTACAAATCAACCATTCAGGTATCTTTCTAGGAAATGAGCTCTTATAACTGTCTTCACAAGTAAGTTCATGAATCATGAACATTAATACCCACACAAATAATACAAAGCCTATTTCTCAGTTTGGGTATTATTAATTAAAGCCTTTTATTGAGAATATCTATTTTGTTAAAGACAAAGTCCAAAAAGACAACTTCGGCCCCACTCTTATCTTTCCCAAGGTCAGGCAAGTCAATACCCACCCTTGCTCCTCACCCTGTGTAAAAGAGAGGGAGATTAAAAATTTTAAATCATGGTGCTGATAATACACTTTGTAAATCTAGCATTTTAATATTTTAGCATTTAAAAAGAAAAATCCTTTCAAAACAATAACAAAATATTTTTGTCTTTTGATAGTTTTTCTTCAGCTCACCTGAAATGTTTTAGATAGACCATGATCTATTCCAATAGTAAATAAAATTTCATGACTCACCTACTTTACCTATTTTCAGTTTCTACCACCAAAAGCACTCCCTGATATAAAGTGTCATTTTAAGTAAGCCTTAAGGAAGGGCCAGCCTTAGAATAAATACAGTAGGTGAGAGTAAAAGTTTCTGAAAAGGAAGTTGCTAAGAAACAGAAGTTGAAGAAGAAAGCTGTCCAATGTTGTCAAGCTGCAAGTTACTGGTATTATCAGCACATCAAAAGTAAACTTTATGCTTAAGACATATTAATAGTTATGTGTACCCGTTGGAATAAAGACCAGAATCCTCAACATGGGTTGAGGATTCCACTTGGCCTTTCAAGTTACCCTCTCTACCTCTCTCATCACATACACACACACACCCTACTCCCTGCACTCCAGCCACACTAGCCTTCATCCAGTTTCTGAATGTACCACTTTCCTTCCTGCTGAGACTCATTTGTGCTGTCTTCTCACCTGAAACAATCTTCCCCTCCTATTGTGTCGTCACATCTTAGCTCAAACATCACTTCCACAGGTAGAGGCAGGTTCATGGGCTTGTGACCTGTATGGGTTCACTGGGCTGGCACTTAGAAGGGCCCCATGGTTGGTTTAATGTTCCTCTGTCTCAAGTCTCGAAAGTCTTAATTTTTGAACAAAGGGCCTTGCATTTTCATTTTGCACTGGGCCCTACACATTTTGTAACTGGTTATATCCCCCGAAAGTCTTCACTGACCTCCCCAAATAGTTCAAATACTCCCTTTGCAGGCTTACAGCATGTACATCCCTTTATACCACTGATCATAGTCAATATTTTTACATCAGTTTAAGTTAACTATTTGACTTTGTGTCCTTCACTAAAAAATAAGCACCATGAATCCAGTGTTCCTGTCTGATTTTTGCTTACCACTTCATTTCTAGAACCTACCACATAACAGGCAATCAATAAATGTTGGTTGAATAAACTTTTGTTTTTATTATTACCGCCATCATTACTGTTGTTATTACTGTGTACCATTTAGGCTAAGAATGCAGCAGGGAAGATAAGGAAAAAACTCTGCATGGCAAAACATGAAAAATAAACCTTACTCAGATGACTTTAATACTATAACCAACAACACAACTCTAAATATTAAACAGCTGCCTAAAAATAACTGGAACTTGGAATTTTTTTAACCCTTTCTACTTTCTTTTTTATTTTATGATATATTAGCTCAGCAATTAACAATTATATGATTTCTGTAACTATATGTGGGCCTGAGCGTAGAAATATTTTATTGATGAGGACATGAAATTTTTTAAAATGGTGATCCTTGGGTTAGAGTCATGAGATGTGCAAAGGGAATAGTGAGATAGCTTGTCAAATAGTTGAAGGCCTTAACTATGAGCCTTAGGAGTGGTACAACAGTAACATCGGATGAAAACTATATATTTAATATAAAACATTTAATAGAAAGAGATTTTCAGTTTTAGGTTTAGTGCATATGGAAGAAATGCATAGGTAATTTAAATACTTTCTTCCTGTACCTCAAAGGATTATCTTGCATACTACAGAGGGCATGTATCCCACCCTACATTGGAGAACACTGCTCCAATTAAATAACTACTTACGTGAAGTTTTAGCATGGAACCCAGACATTCACGTATTCTTGAACAGGGAAGAGTCTCCTCTCACCTGGTAAAATCACCCTTTTTAACCAAAGAAAAGGCTTGGGGAGGAACATGAATGAATTAGTGAGGAGGATGGGGATCCCTGCTTGCCTGCCTACCTACTACCTACCAAGACACTTATATCCAACCAGAGTACTTTTAATTTCCCCCATACTCTTCATACTTTCCTATCTTCATAACTTTGCTCAAATTGTCCCCCTCAGTCCAGAATATTCCTTCACTGCCACATACGTAAATCCTACACCTTTTTTAAGACCAGGTTTAAATGCTACCTCTATCAAGAAGGTTTTTATAACTAAACAAATCTAATTTCTCCTTTATCTATACTGTCTATAGCAGTACATACTTGTCTTATGTCACATTTTATTTTTCTCCTCTATTATATTGTTATGTCAATATCTTATCTCTCTTTCTAGATGGTAAGTTCCTAGAATGTGGTAAATTCCTAGGTCCAGAGGTTATTTATTAAAATTTTTGCTTCTCAACTGCTCTAAACTGAAGATGGCTTTTACAATAATATGCCAAAATACGAAATGTGAATTAAGAGGTAAATGTTTTGTCTAATTATCATTTAAAGGTATTAACAATATCTTTATTACAAGAGCTCCAAATTAAAACTACCCACCTTTCAGAAACCAATTCTTTCATGATAAAACTATGGTATCACTCTCATACCAAAGCAGTAACTTACTCTAAGGTACTCTTAATGACCTACATCAATTTACTCTTTAAAATTAGAATTACTATTCTAATAGTATTCTCTAGCACAAGATATATTAAATTTTTATCATTTTTATAAAGAAATATATTCCTATTTTATAGATACAAAGAATACCTAGAAATAATGCAAATATCAGAGCACTTCATAACTAAGTGTGTATCCAATTACTGTTATTAAAAGTCCAGTTAGGCCAGGCATGGTGGCTCACACCTGTAATCCCAGCGCTTTAGGAGGTTGAGGCAGGAGGATCTCTTGAGGCTAGGAGTTCAAGAACAGCCCGGACAACATAGTGAGACTGAGTCTCTATAAAAAATTAAAAAATTAACTGGTAGGGTGGCACATGCCTATAGTGCTAACTACTGCAGATGCTAAGCCAGAAGGACTGCTTTAGCCCAGAGTTACAGTAAGCTATGATCGCAACACTGTATTCCACCCTGGATGACAGGGTAAGACCTTGTCTCTAAACAAAAGTCCAGTTTAGTCCTTTACCTACTTTCCAATTTTGCCGAGACCCTGATTATTTTACGTTTAGTGTTTTCTTTACCAGGAGCAAAAGAAACACCTCTTAAGTTTCAATCTTAGTGGGATAGAAAGTATTTTTTTATCCAAATGAGTATTTCTTAAATTTTTTAAAGAGATTTTTTCTACTAAGTATTTATGTCAAAGAACAAAGTAAAATTAAAAAGAGAGGACACACATTCCTGGGCTTTTGAAAACCATAAGAAAAAATAAATAATGCATAATGATAAAGTAATAGTCACAACCCCCCAAAACACATATTTGTTTCTCATTCATTTTAATTATCTTTAAGCTACCTACTTTTTAAGTTTTATCAACCAATGCAATATAACAAAAAACATCAATATTCTTTACTACTAATCCATTATGATTTTTAGTGAAATGACTGCTAGCCAATAAATTCACATATGCATACCCCTAAGTCTCTTAAAGATTTTTATATATTCCTTGCAGTATTCTCTCGAATTATCAGGTTAGGTGATAAGTCATTCTGGTGGCAGATCATCTATTTATTCCACTCAGTTCAGGGTATTTCACAGTATGAAAGTGCTATGACCTAATAATCGAGTCTAATTCCAAAGTCCATCTCTTAACAATCTAATGTAAGAGAAACAAGAGAAGGGCCATGAAGAGAGGTACACTCTGCTGATGGTTTCTTTTTTGTTGTTGTTCTGCATTCTTAATGTACAACACGACTCCTCTGGCATATGAATGTAGGTGAAGACATAATTTGTAGAATAATAGGCACTAATATTACACGCTGCTTCAGTTCTGTCGTATTTCCAATCCATCAAATTGATTAATGCTATAATAACTCTACACAAACCTATCATTTGTGCACTAATGAAGTCAAACTCAGTTTATCCTTAGGCAACTAGATTCCAAAAGCTCATAGATGTCATCTCTTCAGCCTTGCAAGACTATTTAGACAGTGCTATATAAAAGGAATAAGAAACATGTATAGCCTATCTCCAAATTTGGATGGCTTCCTGCCAAAGGTGTAAATGCAAATACTAATATAACAAAATGCTCCAAGAACATTTGGCAGCTCTTAAAGATGGACAAGTTACTGCAAGACACAGAGAAAAAAAAGAAAGAAATTTGCTAATTTGGTATAAATATACCGACGAGCTCAATGATATCATCATAAACACTACATTCAAACCCTTTCAAGTTTTAGGCAATTATAATGTGAAGGTTTCATATTAAATAAATTTTTAAGATGTTTAGACTTAAAATATGATGATACGGGACTTTATCAAAACTGGAATTTTAAGGACTATGTATTAAATTCAACCTGCAAACTATAGTACAAATCAAATGTAACACTATATCCCAGATAATAATGATCATGAAATGATTGAACAATGATGCCCCTGAGCTAATGTTTCATAGGGAATATTTAATATTATAGAGGATGTGTAAGCAGGAAGTGATTCTTCCCACAAAAAGTTTAAAACCATTCTCCCACCACCTCAACAGTCATAAATCAGTGTTTCAGGTCAGAAAGTGGCTCATGTTGAAAAATGGAGAAGCACGGTTCACACTTTCATTTCCATAAACCTAAATAAAAAACAGGCAGGCAGCATTGTGGTTAGGCTACTAAAAGAATGTGCAGCAAGCAAGTGTAGATACAAAGATTAAAGGCTACCTTAGATTTAAAAAGGGCCCTGAGGCATGAAGCAAATATTCTAGGAAAACTAGAGAAGTATAAGACACAAACACAAAAGGATTCCCAGACTCTGGAAGATTCTTCTAGAAGAAGGTTCAGACCAGAACTATTCCCTTGGCTATAAGTTATCTTAAGCACTTAGAGAGAAGAAACTTGCTGACTGACATCAGAGCAATATCCTTTATTGCTTGTTGCATACAGGCTGAGTATCCTTTATCCGAAATGCCTGGGACCACTTCTGTGGTCCCAAGCACTTTGAATTTTGAATTATTTTGAATTTTGGAATATTTTCTTACCAGTTAAGTCTCCCTAATCAGAAAATCCAAAATGCTCCAATAAAGATTCCCTTCGAACACCATGTCAGCATTCAAAAAGTTTCTGATTTTGGAACATTTCAGATTTCCAATTCTCAGATAGGGATGCTCAACCTGTATAAATACATAAATTGCACAAAGTTCTCATTTCAGAAAATAAATTTAGCAACATTTTCCAAATTGGTTTTACCACTTACTCAATAAGTATTCATTGCATATAATGTGCTACACACTATTCTAAGCAGCAAAGACACAATCAGAAAGAAAAATCAAGTAACTTCCCTTAAGGCACTTATATTTTAGAGGTACCACATGGCCTATCACCATTACATGCTACTTTTATAACATCTTAAAAATTCTAACAAATACTGTAGTCTACCTCATTATGATAAGAAATATCATTTGGTATACCTATAACAAGGTTTATTGGCCTACATGCTACACCAGGACTAAGAAAAAATTACACACAACAGTGTATAATCTGAAAAATGCTAAATGAATGCCAATTTGCTAAACCATGGCAAGTAATTCAAATAATATCCCACAAATCACTCATCAATATCTCCAACACCCATACATTCAGAACTGGTAAACAAAAGATTAAAATAACCCAACGTGAGTCACATGAATGAATGATGCAACAGAATTAATCTCCAAGACAGCTGGAAGCAGAAGATGGAAAGCAATATAGATTGAAAATGTAGGAAACTAGTAGAGAGCAGAACTTCCCTTTCATGACCAAAGTTGGAGAATAAATAAAACTACAGAATGAGAATGTATCTCCTGATCAAACAATAACTGGATTTCTATCTAGGCAGATGATGATGATGATTATGATAACAGCAATTAAGATTCCCAAGACTCACACAGCTTATATCTAGAATGTATAAAAAACTCTTCCAATCTAATAATAAAATAACAATATAACCCAATTTTTTAATTGGGCAAGGGATATGAATAGACATTTCTCCAAAGGAGATATACAAATGGCCAACAAGCACATGAAAAGATACTCAACAGCATTAGTCATTAGGGAAATGCAAATAAAAACCACAGTAAGATACCACTTCATAGCCACTAAGAAAACAATAATCAAGAAGATAGACAAGACAACAGCCAGGATTTGAAGCCACATAATCTGGCTCTAGAGCCAATGAACACACAACTAACCTCTTGTAGAGCTCACAAATAAACATTCTTGGGTAATAATTACTGGAATTAAAGCAATTATTATCATCCTACAACCGTAATTTTCAACCCTTAGTGTACCAGAGTCATCGGAGGAACTTGGTAAAGTTGTGTATTTCATAAACTCAGAGATTCTGATACTATAGAGATGAGGACCAAGAATCTGCACTTGGCCAAGTGCGGTGGCTCAGGCCTGTAATCCTAGCGCTCTGGGAGGCCGAGGCAGGCGGATTGCTTGAGGTCAGGAGTTCAAAACCAGCCTGAGCAAGAGCGAGACCCCATCTCTACTACAAATAGAAAGAAATTAATTGGCCAACTAATATATATAGAAAAAATTAGCCGGGCATGGTGGCACATGCCTGTAGTCCCAGCTACTCGGGAGGCTGAGGCAGTAGGATCGCTTGAGCCCAGGAGTTTGAGGTTGCTGTGAGCTAGGCTGATGCCACAGCACTCACTCTAGCTAAAGTAAATACAAACCAAATTTAAAACCTTTCATTCTTTCTTAGTAAGTATGCATTTGTCGTGTTCTCAAATAGTTATGTTTAGATTTTGTTCCATTATTAAAATGATCCACCACAGCTGGATGTAGTGACACACTTCCATACTCCCGGGAGGCTGGGGCAAGAGGATCCCTTGAGCCCAAGAGTTTAAGGCCAGCCTGAGCAACATAGTGAGACCCCATCTAAAAAAAATCCACCATTTTTTACTAATTTCCAATAAAAAGCAGATTAATTACATATGATTATTATGAATTGATAGATAAGAATCTTGTAGCTAGGACTCAAAATCTGAATTCTCTTTTTAAAAATGATAATCTGAAATTTAGAAAAGAGGAGGCACTGATACCATTCTGAGCTTTTCTCAGAAACAGAAATGAATATGAGATCAATGGCAGAACACACAAAAAACCGTTGGTTAAGATTAAAAGTGCAATATCTAGCCAAAAACTAGAGGTAAGAAAACAGCCCTACACAACTACCAGACCTCAGCAATGTTAACTTGCAAGGTGCAATAGTTTAGTGGTTCTCTAAATCTAATTCTAGAGATGGAAAACAGGTATCCCTCAAACTAAGGAGCAGCTCTCCCTAGTACTCTAAACCAAACACAATAATTATAATAATACTACCTATTTTTTTAGATATCTAGTATGTGATTATTGTTCTAATATTATACTTTACATATACTATTTCACATCGAGCTAGGTAACCAAAAAACTCTCTATTCTTCCCTACTCCTCCCAGCTAGCTATGAAACAAATGATCCCCTACAAAGGATCTGATTTATTATTACACCTGCTGAAATCTTGGCAAAACTGCCAAGATTCTCCAAGAAGAAAAAACAATAAGATAACATAGGCTTATCATTACAGAATTCCTTCATGAATAGGAGAACAGGGTAGGAAATCCTAAGATTCTCCCAAAAATACTAAAAGCATTTAAGTGAACAAATAGATTATTAAATGTACTAGGAACTATAATAAAAAGACAAAAATGAATATAAAACTGTCATTGAATCTAATTTTGCTGAGGGGGTGAGGGAAAAGGAAGGTAGATGAGAAGAGGAAGTGACTGAGATACACATAACCATTTACAATACATCAAGTGAACACATTAAGTGTAGGGAAAAAAATAGGTCTTAGAGTCAGACATTCCTCAGTTCCCCTTCCAATTCTATTAATACAACTTATGAGTGATCTCAGATAAGTTGCTTAACCTCTTCGTGCCTCACTGTAGAAGAGGAAAATATTAACTCTCTTATAAGGTTGTTTGAAGAATAAAATGAGATAAACTATGTAAATGTCCTATATAGTCCCTAGCTCACAGAACACTTTCAATCAATAATTAACAATATACACATTAAACCAGAAGTGTGTATAGAGCCATATAGGAATACTCTTGAATAACTAAATCTTTCCAAGAAAGAAAGGAAAGAATTCACAGGATGAAATCTGAATTGGTCCAAAAAATAATCAGAAGCATGCCAGAAAGAACATGAGGGGCAGGGAGAGGACTTTAGATGTTTACCAAAAACCTAACACCTCTAATTCAGTTTGAGGAAAGGTAGGTAAAATACTCAGCAAAGACTTCCTGAACTAGCTATCTCTGTGTAGATTTCTAGCATAGGATATGCATTTATATTGAAATTATCTATTTTAATGGATATGTCCAGCACAAGAATATAAGTTCATCAAAGGCAAGAATTGTGTTACTAATTTTTGTACCCCCAGCACCTGGCAAAGCACCTAGCACAAATCAGGTATTCAACAAATAAATATATTCTATAGAAAATACAAGCAAGTGTTTTGCTATCTAAAGCCTAAAAGACATCTGACAGCAAAAAACTACTATAACTGAAAATAAAACCATTGAACCAAATTAAGAAATAATAACATCTCAGTAATGGATACTAAATTCAACAATAGAAACTCAAGAATTCACTTTCTCTCCAAATTGTTCAATCATTCCTAACCAGAGATACACAGCCAAATCATCTATGGAGTATTTGAAAAATAAATGTGCCTTATTGCCCCCTTCAATCTTCCCATAAGAGGTCTTCTTTGGTAAGAAAAAAAGAATGTGTGTGTATACATACATGTTGGGGAAGGGGTGCAATGCAAGGCAGGCATCAGTAGTTTCAGGTAGCTCCAGATAATTGAGCTCCCTGTAAGTACTGTAAAGTACAATATCAGCTTTCCACAACACTCTATTCATCCCTACCTCCCATCTATCCCCATGCTGTTTTAGAACCTCTCTTCAGTCATAAGTTGGCCCAGCTCTAATTAAAACAGGTTAGCAAAGCCCTCTGCACACTAATATGAGGCCTGCCTCTCCTGTGCCCTGTCTGAATTACTGACCCAGAGGATCCATGAACATAATAAAATGGCTACTTTACACTCCTAAATTTGGGGTGGTTGGTTACACTGCAATGGTAACAGTTTAGAATTTTAATGCTTACTATTCATTACATATTTATCATTAGAGATAAAACTAAATGTTGGTTCAACTGAAGCCTCACAGAACTCCCTGCTCATCTAAATCAGTTATCAAACTGACTCCTGACCATATTATGTTCACAAATTCCACTTTACTGCTTCAGATATAGCTGTTGAAATTTCCATTTTCTCTCTAGTCAGTTTCATTTTATTAATCCATTATCTTGAAACTTTTATCTTCCTGATATCTCACTCTATCTTCAACTTGCTGACCATATCACTATGACTCCTTGGCCTCTAGTCCTCAGAATTTGGTACTCCATGGCTATAATGGCTTACATTCATTATGAAAAACTGATCTGAATGGCAATTGTTATATTATTCAGAGATTAAGGGAAAAATAGGAGAATCCAAGAGAAAAACAACAATGACTTTAGCTAAACTCAAATCTTATTATATCTTTTCTTAAAAGGCAAACCCATATAGTTGTCTACTTAAGATACAAAGATAACCCAAAACAGTAAATAATGAAAACATACTTTATATTTGCCTTTAATCTGCACTCTATGATTTCTCAAACATATCTCCCTTTCTAAATATTTAAAGTAGAAATTACTTTACATTTTCCAAATAGCCACCCAATTATAGTAAGATACTAAGTAAAAAGGATCATACATGGCAAAAAGGAGAAATCTGTTTGGGGAGAAAAATACATCAAGAATAATTCACAACGTCAACTGAAGAACAAAGGTCAATCAACCACTGAAATAGTTAATAACATGTAACTAGTTCTTGTCCACTAGCCAAATTAGAATCTTAAATTGATGAATAGTAATAGTAAAAATAATGATAATGTTTAATGAAAAAATAGACAGCAACTTTTTTTTCATTATTTTTGACATATAATTTATAAAATGAGAAAGTTAGAAACATTACTTATAATTCAT